AAGAAGAAACTTGTTTCTTTTAAACTGAGGAAATTCCATGAGATAGTGTAATGAGAGTGTAATGACAGAAGAAAATAATAATAATCAGGGAAAGCTAAAACAAATGTAAATAAAGCAACCCTCCCCCCAATCAAAACCTACAAACAAACAAAAATACAAAACTAGAAGAAATATCTATTGAAATAAGGAAAAAATGCTGCTCCTTCTACTGATACTGTACTTACCATGGACAACCTGGCACCAAGTATTTATCTGGTCATTCTAGTGTGATGCCAATTAAGAGCTCACAGCCGGTTATTGCTACTAGAAAGTGGACCCTTTGTTAAGGTTATGGAAACCAGGAATATTGAAATATTCTTAATTCCTTCCAGAAGACTGGTTCATGAGGCTACTGATATTGCTGAGAAAGGTAACTTCTAGCTACTGAATGTGTTACCTTATTCACACTAGTTTTTTTTATATTTTTTTATTGGTTAGATATGATTTGTCCCATTTCTTTTACTTTTTTATGATGGGAATTAAACCCAAGGCCTTAAGTATGCTAGGCAAGTTCTCTATCCCTCTGTTTTAATCCTAGTCTACACTATAGGTCTTTTAATGGACATATAATTTCCCAAGAACTATACAGTCTTCTCTTGGCAGACTTAGGAGATTTGTTAGAGGACTCTCGTAACCCTACAAATACCAAATCCATGGATGCTAAAACTTTTTGTATAAAATGACATAGTACTGGAATATAACCTACATAATCTCTGGATTACTTGTAACATCTAGTATAATGTAAATGCTGTATAAATAATCGTTTTCTGTTTAGGGAATAATGACAAGGAAAAGAGTCTGCACAATTTCAGTACATATGCAACTTCTTTTTTCCCAATATTCTCAATCTGTGGTTGCTTGAAGTTGAGGATACAGAACCAGCTGAGATGGAGGGCCAACTATATTCACCTTTTGCACTCATTATGAGCAATTATATTCCTTCTGAATACTCATTTTCCAAACATCCTCCATAATCCTCCAATCCGATGCTTTGCAAGTACTTGGGACACAAACCAACCTCTTATCCACTAAATTGGTATAGATTGTATTTCTGGTCATTGTTGTTCAATGAAAAATTAACTCATAACCATGTTATTGTAATCATGAATTCAAGTGGAACACACTGTGGATGGATTCTCTCTGCTCTATCAAGTCTGAAGCCTCATTTCAGAAGTCTCAATGCCTAGGGATGACTCTGATTGTGGGCTGGAACCATCTGAGGGCCTCTTTACCACATGTTCAGTACCTAGATTGGGCTGATGTAAAGACTAAGACCTATGTTGCCTCTCTTGGAAATCACACACCATGACAGCCATAGAGTAGTAGGATTTCTTTCCAGGTAACCACAGGCTATAATTGGCTGCTTTATTTTTGCATGTTAGGATCAGGTAGATCTATATTTCATCCCTAAAATGATGATGAATTGAAATTATTTTAACCTCAATAAGATCAGACAGGAACTCTGATTCTTCCAGTTTCTCAGAGGCTCTATTTTGCAACTTATTTGTGCTAATATTTTCATTGTAAATCAAAGTGTTGATTTAAAGACAAGTTGACTTTTGTCTTAATAACCAGAAAAAGATGCCTTTGAAAGACTATAGGTTCAGAGAGTATAGAGGACTAAAGAACCAAGCTCAAGAATTGGACTAGATGAGAAACTGGGAAGCAGAAATTGTATCTAAATTCACATCTCAGAAATAGCCTGGTAGGTCATTGCCACTAGCAGTAACACCTCTGGATCCTCATTGCTGCCGCTGGCATGAACACCTAGCATTTCTGTTGGCTACTTGCCTGACTGGCCTTGGGGACTACAGAACAAGCCCAAGTTGCTTGTAATTACATCATTTACTATGGATCCAACATTCCTGCACAGAGCATGCTGTCATCAAACCTAAGTGACATATCTGCATCTTATCTCTTGGGATGAAGGAAGGAGATAAGCATTCTTTCCAGTTCTCTAGAGGGAAGGGGAACCTTCCCTCACAGCATTTACTCAACAGAATTCCTCCCAAATATAAAATAGCTTAGATTATAAAAGTAAATAAAAAATATAAATAATATAAAATATATAAATATAAAAGTAAATATTCATTGAACATGCTCAGTCTGATTATTTAATAACAAAAATTATTGAGTGAGTGAAACACAGTAAGATTTAGTCCAAACAGCTGCTTTAATGAAAAGAGTTCCAAGGTTCTAGCCCTTGTGCATTTAACTTTGGGTAAATCATTAACTTCTCTAGTTCTCCTTTTATTTATGAAATGAGAGTAGGACCACTGTGTATAGACTTCATAATAACTTCAACTTTCTCCTCCTTTTTTATAGAAACACTATTGTCAGTGTTATTTGCAGAGATTCATCCACGTGGTGGAGTCATATGCCTAGGACTTGGCAGTACCCAGTACATGGTTAAAGAACTCTTTATGAACTAAGTTGTGTAGCTTTTCTGAAGTTCCAATGGATTCTTTCATGTGAGTGTACAAGCAGGTATAACTACAAATTATTAAAAACCAGCTAAATTTCATTGTTTTGCATCTAATTTTCCAATGTGGGAGCAAAAATCTGAAATTTTTTTCTTAGTCTTATTTAACTTCCTCAACTCTAACAAACCTGACTCTCTTGAGATAGCCAAGAGACAAGAATAACAAACTCAGGAACCACCAACTTCCCAAGATACTGTGCATCTTTGGTACAGAAATCCATTCATGAGAGACTTAGTTTCAAGGTTCTCTAAGAGGAAATTTGGGGACTTTCCATTTAATTCACCTTATATGAATCATTGCTTCAGTGGCCAGGATGTTACCTCTAAGGATGATCCAAATATTTCCAGCCAAAACAAGATCTTTCCATTCTCCTTTAGGAAAGACCACAATATTCTTAGAGGAAAAGATGATGTCACTCCAGAGTTTTGGCTGGCTTTTCCTTTCACAGTGTATCTATCATGGAGATTCTCAAGAGAAATGTTTACAGGGAATCCTCTGGATCCATCTTTTGGTGACCAATACTGAACCAAGAGAAAATCTTCAGAGATTTCATGTGCAATAGCTCCCATCTATGTGAATGACACAGAACTTTCAAAACAGCATAATGTCTTGAGAATTCAGAGATGCAAGTTTGCCTTTTAGACAGAGATATTTTGCCAAAACTTGCAGATTTTGCTATTCCATTGGCTGTAGAATGGATCCAAATTTCTAAATAGGATTATGACAGAGAAATAATAGATTTGAACTAAGCACTGAGAAATGGCTGTTCATATAGCAATATGACATTCAGGGACTTTTGGTTTTTACTTGCCCTGCCTGAGTCATGTCTGTGCTAAAGGGAAAGTTCTAGTGAAAGTACTTGGTGTGACCATGGGTGTGCTCTTGTCTCTTCAAACTAATATCAGATCCAAACAGGATTTTATTTCGTGAAGCTTAGATTCAGACTGAAAATGACTATCTTGCTGAGGGACTGGCTCCATGGTCACAGAGCAGGAATATGCATTCAGAAGTTCCTTTCAATCAACTACACTAACCCCCAAATTATGGCAGCCAATAGTGGTTGTATTTTGTCACACAAACACAACTGGAGATTATTGGATAATTAACAATCTACTATAGATAGATGATTGTTGAATTTCATTAGTAAGAGTTATTTGAGAATTTTTAGTTCTTTTTCATAACACCAAGTTCTTCTTTAACTTAAATAAAATATTAGTTAATGTAAAGTGTGACTTTTTGCATTAACTTTTCATACATATGGTTCTGTTTACCTATGATGTATATATTGTGCATTGCCTGATTTCCAAGGTTTTATGAATATGTAGACAAAAACAAAAGCTTTTGTGTTCTTTGTATTTTTATATGGTTAAACAGAGTTATAGATTGCATTGAATTATGTGAACATAATAGATTTTCTGAAAGAACTATTTTAGTGGCCTCAAGATCAAGTTAACATAATAAAGTTGGAAAAAAATACACGTCATTTTGGAGGGTTCCATTATGTCAACCTCCATGGAACATTCTATCAGCTCTAACAATAATAGTCATTTTAAAAATCAGTTGTTACTCTATGTTCCTTTCTATGATCTCTGAGGTTTTTATTTCACATTATATATTCAAATCAACCTTGTTGTATCCCTTAAAAAAGACCATTCCAAAGAAGCATACATGTTTGTTTACCTATGCCTAAAACATGGGATGCAGGCACTGTTTTGAGAAGCCCATCTTGGTCTTCAAGTTTTCAACCAATCACTGAATCATATGCTAGCCCCTTAATATTTGTCTACTCATCACCTCTTTCCTTCCAGATTGCTTTAACTTAGTTAAGGCCTTCAGCCTGTTTCACTTGGATTACTAAAATGTCTTTCCAAATTCTTCCTTCACATCTGAGCCATTCTGTTCTTCACAAAATAAAGATTACATCATTACTTCTCATCGCCTTCCAGAGCCCAGCTCTCTTACTTCCTAGCTGTGCAACTTTGGCAAAGTTTAGAACAGTGCAGAGCCCATAGTAAGTGCTAGAAATGTGTCACATAGTTACTCTATTTAAAAGGATGTCCACATCCTTTTACAGAGAGCTCAGCACAGTCCCTAATCTTGGTTTAAACCCTCATCATTCTCCATACCATTCCCTTCCCAGTACCAGCAAAGCTCTGCTGTTCCCTTACTGAACTACCTATAGTTATATTGAGCCTTGCATTCTTTCTTTTTTCTTAAGTCTTTTTATGTGCATCTCTACTCTGTCTGGAGTATCATACCCTATGTAATTTGCCCGATTAAATTCTATCCATTCTTTGGAACTTAGCTTCACTGTCATCTTCTCTGCAAATACTTTCCAGGTGTCCAAACTTGGGCCAGGTCCTTTTTCTTACTAGATGGCCTTTAGTACTGTTTTAGCTCATTCAGGCTGATGCCTCCCCCTCCAAAAAACAAACAAACAAACAAATAAACAAACAAACCCACCATAAACTGGACAGCTTACAAGCAAAAGAAATTTATTTCTCATTGTTCTGAAAGCTGGGAAGTCTAAAATCAAGTCACTAGAAGATTCAGTGTCTGGTAAGTATACGCTTTCTGATTCACAGACAATACCTCATTGCTAGGGATGAGGGCCTCTCTGAAGTCTCTTGAACAAAGGTACGAATCCCATTCATGGGGGTCCCACTCTTATGACTTATTCATTTCCCAAAGGCTCCATTGCCTGCTACCATTACCTTGGGGGTGAGAATTTTAATGAGTTTTATGGGGAACACGAACATTCAGACCATAGCAAGTATGCTGTGTTCCTTTCTTCCTGAAAGTCCATTGCAGCTGCTTGCTTCTTTGGCTATGTCCCCCAGTCATTTGTAAGATTCTTGGAGTCAGAATTTCTTCATAGCAGTACTTGACACATGATGAAAATATAATAATAAACCAACAATGAATAACTAAGTCACTTATGGCATGATAAAGTTGTTATTTCAAAACTGAAACAAAGAAAAGCAAAATATATTGGTGGCAATTATACAAGCATATGCTTTCTACTCAAAATATTCAAACATGTTTTGAATAAATAAGCAAATGAGGAATTTGAAATATATATATATATATATATATATATATATCTTATTCAAAATGGAAATCTGTAACCATTATGTATCACACATTCAAATAAATATACTAAAAATACATTCAGTTCTACCAGCAAATTATTACACCAGATAGTAAAAATCAAATTGGTAAATTGACCATATTCTAGTAATTTCTAACTTCTTTGTTTTTGTTATTTAGTTACTTTCTCTGTCTTTACTTTGAAATAAACATGTACATTGAACTTGGCTTATAGGACTATAATCCAGGAACTAATAAATTGAATCACACTGTGAAATACAAATACATTTTCTTCTATCTTGTCAGATGCTCTTTAAAATTTGAACTTCAAGAACAGAAGTTCAATCCATTTGTTCTCTTGACAGATAGAGGCCAAATGACACAACGGGAAGATATTCAACGAAGTGTCAAGAGGAACTCATGTTCTAGAGTCCTTTTTGCCACTTAAAATAGCTTTGTTGTAAGTGTATCATTCTGTATATGGCATAGCGTGGTAGTAGAAAAATCTCTGAACACAGAGGCATCCATGGAACCCTGGCTTTGTCACTCCTACTTAAATGACCACTGAACCATTTGTTTCCATTTTGTCTCTTTCACTTGTTGAACATATATGAAATTCTTGGCATAAACTGACATCTTTTAAGGAGGCACAAAAATAAATAAATGGCTCTGATCTAGAGTAACTCAGGAGTTTAGTGTAAAAGACAGTCATCCAAAGCTTTGAAAACATTGGCATTTGCAGACTCGCTCAAATTTCTGTGAATAAGAACCACCTGGGGATCTCCTGAAATTGCAGACTGTGATTCAGTCAGTGTGGAGTAAGTAATCCCTGTGGTTGTGCCCCACTGCTTCTGAGATTTCTCACAAGTTTCCAGGTTATAAGTATGGGGATCAGTATTTGAGAAGCAATTGCAGTAAGACATAAAATGTACAGAAGAAAAGAACTCAATCTGAAAGGCTCCACTAAGGAAGTAGAATGAGTGAGAAATATGGTGAAGTAGAAATATGGTGAGGTGGTAACAATAATTTATTATGGATAGTGAGACTATGAGTGTTTAATGGATATTTTGTATTTTATACATTGTGATTTTCTAAAAGATGATACTAGCAGTCATATACAAAAGTAAACAACTGTGTGTTCATATGTGTGTGTATGTATGTGCTGTGTACAGTTCCACTCTCATAAGCACTTTGCAGGGTTTATGCTAACTCAGAACAAGCCTATGAGGTGGAAACCATTGTTCCCATCCTCCTTTGACCTATAAGGAAACTGAGGCACAGAAAGTTGGACCTGCCCAAGATCCCACGGTTATTTAGAAGCAGAACCAGAAACCCAACCTCAGCAGTCCCCATCCAGGGCATCTGCTTTTAACAAAGTCAGGGAACTGAGATAGCAAGTAGCATGGGGAGCAGAACACAGAACATTTAGGGCAGGGAATAAACTTATTCAGGTTCCAAGAAGAGGGAATGCCCTGCCAGGAGGGACAGGTAGAGTTATGAGGGTGCCTGGGGCTAGGGTTCAAGGTCACAGGCAAGTATGATACTAGACAAAAAGAGACAGAGGTCAGTTTATGGATTTGGGAGACAATGACTTTACTTCTCCAGACAACAGAAGGCAAGGTCACTTGTAGGGAGGCTGAGATGGGGATAGGCAAGCAGCCAGGCCAGGCAGCAGCATGAGAGAGCTGGTAGTCCCCAGGTGGCTGGTTGTGGGGGAGGGGCCATCCAGGACATGAGGGAAGGGGAGACATGCAGAATGGGTGGCTCCGTGGCTCTGTCCTCCCTCCTATTTTACTGAAAAATCTATTACTCTATGACAGACAGACTGGAGACCAGAGCAGACTCACTTGGGGTAAGCTCAGGAAGTGCAGATGGTGGCTCTTGGGTGGAGGGTCCCTCAGCAGGAAGCGAGGCATCATAGACCCTGCAAAGCTGCCTCTGTCCCCACTGGATACAGGCTGAACAGTCACAGGATCCTTCCCCTCCCCTCCAGAGAGGGTGTGAGTGTGTGTGTGTGTGTGTGTGTGTGTGTGTGTGTGTGTGTGAGAGAGAGAGAGAGAGAGAGAGAGAGAGAGAGAGAGAGAGAGAGGGCACATTGCTACTCTGCCAGGGTCCAGTTTGAGTTGTCACCTGCTGTGCCCTGGGGCTGGATCTCCAGGATGCCCTCTGCAGTGGCACCTGCATGAAGCTCTCTGGCTCCCAGAGCTGGCAGCCCAGGAAGACTGATCACTCTGCAGAAGTTTCCAGCCATCCCAAGGAAGCCATGCCAACCGTCCAGCAAATCTCCCCCAGTCCAACAAGATGTCACCTAACTCCCAAGCTTCCTCATCTGACCATGAAATGAAGTGACTGAACTCCACTCTGCCCCTGCTGCTCTGCTTCTGGGGGACTTTGTCAGCTATTCTGAATCTCCAGACTAGAATGGTTCTCTGCATCTCTCGAATGGCCTCTCTTCCTCTGTGACCACAGGTAAGCAAAGGGTGTTGTGCATAGGCGGAGACTGGGGTGTGGGTTCACAGGAATACTAGCAGCTCCTGGATGTTTGGGAGGGGGTCATGTCTGAGTGGCAGAAGTTGCCTGTTCCTGGGAAAATTTTTAGCCTCCTGGTTGTCCTGTCAGGGCTGTTCAAAGCCCTGTGTGAGCAATAATGCCTCTGAGCTGCTGCGGATATTTGAGTTCCATAAGCACCAGCTTTATGGTACCTGCTTCTATGTCTTTACTTCTACCATTCACTCTTTTGCTCATGTATTTATTCATGCAGTAAATATTCTATAAATCTTACATGAAGCTTAATAGCCACCAGTGGTATTTACTGAGTTGGGAGGTAGCAACTCCTTCACACTGGGATTTCTGGAGGCTGGAGGTGGGGAGGATTCCCAAATGGGAGGCTGGAAGTGAAGATGACCTTTAAGAGTGTACCTGTCCTTGAGAGGTTAAACCTCTGTGATGCAGAGCAGATATCAAAGCTAGAGGTATGCTATCCCTGAAGAACTCTGTTTGGAAGGTGAAACAGTGTCATTTCTTCCAGTCACAGAGTTTCCTCTGGGGTATGGTATTGCCAGTTAGGCAAGAGCTGGGACTCCCTTGCTTGGGGTGAGGTGTGAGGCTTCTGGATGGCAGAGAGAGACTGGGGGACCCAAGAAGACTTTTGGGAGGAAGGGGTGCTTGTGAAAAGCTCAGAACACGGCTCAGTGGGTGAGAAGTTGAAAACCAGCTGTAGGATGAAGATGGACGGGGGAATAGGATTCAAGTTACGCTGACTTAATGGAACCAGGATCCAGGGCGGTGAGAGAGGCTGCATGGAGTGTGGGCGTGTGAGGGAGAAATAGAGATGCCATGAACATCAGCCTGAAGGGGATGTTGGTGTCTGAGCACTTGGCCCACACCATCTTTTATGCAAAGGCTTCTCTGTGCATCCCTTTTACCGAGACCTTACAGATAGGAATGTAACCCGCACTGTGATCGCCCCCCAACAACAACCAAAAAAAACTGCCATTCCAGCCATGGAGGGGGTCAGAGTCCAGAGCTCTTTCTCTTTAAATACCTTTGTGGAAATTGACTCTAATTACTGTCAATTACCTGGAACAATTTCCACTTTGGTTTCTGGTGACAAATTAATGAAATTATCATTGTGGGCTAATTATAAAGGATGCAAATTTGAGGCATGTTGCAGGAATACATCCTCTAGAGTCAGTGGTATCTCATTTGCACTTCTTGCAGAGAGTCCAAGTATCTCTCCTTTTGTCTCTAAATGATGCAATTTCACTATGCCTGGATTCCTAGTCTCATTAATAAGGGAAAAATCTTTCTTTTATTTAATGCATTTAGTTAAAAGGTGAAACAGATTATAACTGTGGAATTTTCAGCCATGATATTGGTCAGAAAGAGTTAGTAATCTGCACATGGAGCACCCTGGATCCAGGTGAGCCCAACTTTGGGATGGGCACCTGTCCTTTCTCACCATCTCCAATGGATCTCAGTTTTGATAGTGGCTTAGCAATAGCAGTCACGGTGCCAGGAGTTATAGAAAGCAGGCAAGTTCTCACACAAATTGCACTTCTTGAGGAGCATTTTGCCACATTATAATTCAGAAGCTAAAGACCTGAGTTTGAATCCCAGTTTTATCACTTTTAAACTATGTGGACTTGGACACATCAGCCAACTTCTCTGAGTGTGGCTTTTTATTTGACTTGTAATAGGTAGTAATGTCTCTTCTCCACACACCCCTGGGTGTGGGGTGAGCCCAAAGCTGCAGAAATGCCTTGTGAACCTGCAAGTGGCATAAACAAGCTGTTCTCAGGAAAACCTTCAGGGGTCAGCACCAAAGGGACCCTGGCTTCCTCTTTTTCTGCACTTACCTAGCCCTGTTTTCTAACTTCAAAAGAAAAACTATCATGACTGTGTGATGATAGTTGTAAGCAATTGCATTTTATAATTCCTCTTTGTTTTAACCAGCAAAACAAAAAACAAAACAAAACAAAACAACAACAACAAAAAAACTTCCAGTAGGTGGTGAGAGTGTGGGTGAGGTGATATGTAAGCATTGACATCCCAAGATGAATTTGGAGGGCCTGGGACACTTGAGATCCTCCAAGGTAGAGAAGACGAAAGAGGAGAAAGGAAGAGAAAGTTGGTCTGTGGTTGTCAGGTGTTCTAAAGACAACAGAGAACAGAGGGGAAGTGCCACCTGCTTCCCCGGGGTGGTAAAGAAGTTTAGATACTGGTGGCTTAGCTCAGCTCTACTCAAGCTTCTCAGGTGCTTACCCAGAATCAGACTCAGGGAGGGACTTCCCAACATGGGGAATTGTTTAAAGCCTGGAAGGGAAGCCTGGGGGCACCTGGCCTCCCTGGATGCCTCTGAAACCACTGGGGTTAAATGAATATTATCAAGCTCGGCAGCAGGTGGGGATGAGTAGATGAGAACCCAGAGTTGTCTTTCTTCCTGTGTCCACTGTGTCCCTCTGGGGTCAAGTAGCTCAGTTCTCTGTCCTGTTACCAAGCACATCCTTGGTCCTGGTAAAGGTTGAGGTCATGGAGAGATAAATCATAAAAAGCAAACAATTGGATTATGAGAGTAAATGTCTTCTGTAGACTTGTCCTAAACTCCCTGGCCAGCCTTGGCTTCCCCCATCCACTCTCCCAGGGCCTCTTCCTCCCTGGTACTTCCGCTCTGTGTACCTAGAACTCAAAGGGCAAAAGGTGTCTGGGGAGCCGGGTGTGGGCTGGAGACTTGGGGAGAGACCCAGCCTTCACCCTGAAGGAGCCAGCTCACAGCAGGGATTTCCGCTCTTCTCCAGAAGCCTCTGCAGACCGTGCCCCAGTTGTGGGGCCGCATGAGAGGCCTGGAACCCTCAGCTAAGGCAATCTCAGGTGAGCACAGCTGACTGTGATTTTTATTTACCACTTTAACCACTGGGCAGTTCAGTGGCAGTGAGTCCATCCAGGCTGCTCCGCCACCATTGCCACCATTGCTGCCATCCATCTCCAGAACCTTGTCATCTTTCCACACTGCAACTCCTAATCTCCCCTCTGCCCAGCCCCAGGCAACCCTCATTCTATTTCCTATTTCAGTGCATTTGGTGACTCCAGGTCCCTTGTGTAATTGGGATTGTACAGTATCTGTCCTTTTGCGTCTGGCTTATTTCATCCATGTTGTAGCAGGTACCAGAATTTTTCTTCCTAAAAGGCTGAGTGATATTCCATGGTATGCACAGTCCACGTTTTGTGTATCTATTCATCTGAGCTTGGGTGGCTTCCCTTTCCCGACAGTTGACCTGGGTTATTGCATTCTGTTTGGATGGAGTTTACATGATTTTTTGTGAGCCCCCTTTCCCCATGAGATTGAGGGAGAACATATACAAGCATAGCAGGCATTGCTGACGATAAAAGCAAGCAAACAAACGCACTATTGGATTAAGTAACTGATGTATCTTATGGTTGGAAACTTGGGAAGTGTGGAAAAGTGTCAAAGACAAGTAAAATGGCTTCTAATCCCTGAGATAGCAGGTGATCTATATGTACCTGGAAGAAACGGTTACAAGAGGAAAGAGCAGGACAGCAACCAGAGCTTTCCCTAGAAAGAGCCCAACTATGCTGCTTTATTTGCAGAGGGTCTGCTTGGAGGAAGGGGGACAGTCCCCTGTGAGGGCTAGAGACCCTGGACAAAGCGGTTCTGCTCACCAGGGTCAGGGAAGCTGCCAATCCCAGGTGGGTGGGTGCTGCACAAACCTTATGTGGCACTCAGGGGATGATTAGTTGGTGAGTACATGAAGCTGTGCTCCCGTGGGAACCTGGGCAGCTGTACCACCACACCTGGTGTGTGGACAGAGCAGCTCCTGAGGGATCTGAGCCTGGGGCTGTTGTGGGAGGCAGCTCCCAAGAACCCCTGTCCCTACCATGTGGAGACCCCTTCTGGGAGAGCTCTCCAGAGCAGCCACCTCTGGGAACCATTTCGGGGACTGGAAGGAATCAGTCACCTCTAAGAGAGGTAGAATGAAGCAGGAAACCCCAGGACAGCAGTGGGGTAGTGTGGCACCATGTGAGTAAGGGTGGCTGGTGGTAAGGGGCAGCATTCTCTCAAGGAACAGGGGACAAATGTAAATCTCACTTTCTAGTGAGTCTCTAGGTTGAAACCTCCTGGGGAAACTGATGTGGGGAGGCCTTTTGCCCCAAAACACACCCTGGAAGAGCCTGTTGCAATAAATAAGTCCCAGAAATTGCAGGACACTGACACTCTCCTCAAACCCTTCCCACCCTCTCTTTCCCAGTTGGCACGAACTGCCTCTGTGTGATGCCACTGGGCCCTGGTGCTTTGACAAGCCCAGTAGCAGCGTGCCCAGCCCAGCCACCACAGGGCTGGGAGCTTCCAGGAACACAACCATCCTACTCATTCCCTGCCCCTGTCCTGGAGGTAGGCAGGGCAGGAGAAGGATAAGCCAAAAGCCCAGCAGAGCCTAGTGACTTGGCCAGGACCCAGACCCACATTTGCAAGCTCCAGGCCAGTTCTCCTTTCCTGCCAAGAGGGCAGAAGGGAGC